CAATTATACCTGAACCTGCTAACCTTGATGACACGAGCATCCCAGTTGTCAGTACGATGGGCGATTGTGCATCAGATGCCTTTTTTGCTCCTCATTAATCATCATGATTCCACTTTTCCGCAAGTATTTGCCACTAATCTTACTACTGGTCTGGCTTCCAAGCCATTGGATAGTGCCCTGTTGGGCCAGGGTGAGGTGAAATTATTTAAAGGCATTTAATCTGCAAACATTAGTTCTACCATTGAACAATCCGTTAGTATCCAGAATAATAGATCAGAGAGTTTGTCTACTGTTGTTTGCCTGTGTCCTCCTTCTTTTTTGTCCTCTCCAATAATGCAGGAAATGCAACTGTGTTGAACTGTCCAGCGGAGCCCTGTGCCCTCTCTGCTGCTGGACCCAGAGTGCGGAAAGGGTGGTGATCATTTGTCTGCTTTCTACTTTAATCATGCCCGTGGATGTTTCTGCACATCTTTCCTTTTCCTGTTCTACCTAGGAGGAGACGTGATTTTGGCATCACTGCAGCTGTTGTCGCTGTTTCAAAGCGGTGTCCATGGCTGCGGCTGCTGCCGCCATCTCTGTCACTCAAGCTGCTGCAAATGCTGACACTATAACAATTTAGCTGCCAATGTTGCTTTTGTGTTATCAACATAGCAAGATATGAATGAACATTTACGAAATGGACTTTTGATGCTTAATCAGCAGATAGCTCTAATATGAGACAGACTTTTGTTAACTGCTCACATGCCTTATAACCTTCTGTACCATTTTGTTTTATTTGTGTAATTCCTGTTATGGTGAAAAATGTGTCTATGGAAATAAATAGGTTAAATAGTGTAATCAGAGGACCATGGAACCACCAGTTCCTGAACCTGACTGCTCAATTGGCGAGACGGCTCATAACCATTAACACACTCAGGTTACCCCTGTTACGAGTGAGGGTCTCATTGCCTGTTTTAGAGGACTCCTCCCAGAGTTGCTGTTTGTGCATTCGGCATATGGTTTCTCGTCGGCTACGGAAGCGAAACAAAGAACTGGTATTGCGGTCAGGCAAGTACTTGGCGTCATAGTACTTGACCAGGACTCCCCAGTGGCATCTGGATGGGTCAACTTAGCCCTAGAGAACACGAGAGCCAAAGTCGGGTAAGAGCGTAGCCCGTCCAGGCCAACCTAAGACAGCGGTCTGGACCAACATCGCCAGATTAGCAATGACGGGTAAGGCTGGTCACGGAACATGCCATCCTAAGACAGGCCAGGTGTCTCATTTAAAAGAAAAAAGGGGGAGATGTCCGGATGCAGTGTTGCGCAACACGTGCCATCAATTAAGTTTTGCTTTACCATTTTGCCTTCTGAGAAACCACAGGTTTTTCCTGTTAATCAAATGAGACTGGGAGGTATGATGGGAGGAGCTACCAGGATATAAGAGGAGAACCACGAGAAGGTTGGGGGTTACTGAGCGAGGAGCAGAGAGAAGGTCAGGGAAGGTAGAAAGACAGGGAAAAGAAAGACAGGGAAAAGTAAGAGAAGGTAAAGAAAAATAAAGAAGCAACCACTAGTGTCAAGTTGTCTCAAGCCCCTCATTTCAATCCTCAGCCCTTCTCTTTTTGTGCCTACGATTCCCAGCAGTCGGGGCAAGTAGGTTTACAATGAAGCTGCAGAATCATTGTGTCAAAAATTCCCTCACACGATTCCTCAGTCAAATTGAGGCATCCCTGGCAGCAAAATGGCCAATTTTCTGAACATTCTAATAACTTGACAACATCGGACTGAATTGGAAATGATTACACTTCAAAAACTGTATGTTTAGGGAGGAGGCCACATCTTTCTAAAAGATATGATGTCTATTAAACACAAGAACAATTAAAGTATGTTTGAGAAGAGAAAGATTTTCCAGATTTTATCAGAAATTGATCTAATAGTTGGCATAATAAGTTTTGTCATTTTTAAAATGCCAAATGTGAAATAGTTTACAAACAAAATAGACCACTACTTGCCATAGAATGGTGTTCAATTAGGCCATACTCTCTTGGGAAGGTCTTACTATTGTCCAGATGATTTCATTCCAAGCCAAAAAATATGGAATGCTCAAAAGTGTTGAATCCCTGAGCTAAACAAACACAAGATAGTCATATTGATAACAGAGAGAGGGAGGGTGAGATGTCAAAAGAATCTACAAAAGCACTAGCAGGAAAATCAGTTACATATATTCACATCCAAGGAAGGCAAGTATTAGGACTATACTCAGCACCTATGCCGAGAAATTTGCTGCTCCTTTCCTCTTTGTGCCTGCTCCAACCCAGGAAGTAGTCTTTCAGTATGGAAAGGAGGAAGGCATACTAGACAAATACTATGAGAAACACTGTCATAAATATGCTCAGAATGCTAAAGGAGAACATTGACAGGGAACACGATATATGAATGAAATAATAATATACATGGAAAAACTTAAGAGGAACCTAACAATTTCTGGAGCTGAAAAGCTAAAAAGCCAACCAACAAACATGCACACAACACAAAAAAGTTAAACTTAGAGATGCTGACCAGATTTAGCATTGTGCTGGAATTGCTCGCCAGAGCAATTAGACAAGGAATAGAATAAAAAGAATCAAAGCTGGAAAGGAAGAACAGTAAATATCCTGTTTCACAGATATGGAAATTCCAACACATCCACAAAAACTACTAGTTACAAAAAATTCAACAAAGCTGCAAGATACCAGAACAACTTATAAAAATCAGCTGTTTCTATTTATGTGCAAAAGGAATTGCAAAAGGAAATTAAGAAAGCAATTCTATTTAAATAGCATCTATAAGAAGAAAATACTTAGGAGTATATTTGACCAAGAGGTAAAAGATGTGTACACTGAAATTAATAAAACACTGGTGAAAGAAACTAAAGAAAACCTAATTTAATAGAAAGGCATCCTTAGTTGATGTGAAGGCTTAATACTGTTAAAATGTCAATCACCTAGCAATCTACTGATTCAACACAATTTCTATTGAAATTGAAATTTCCTTTTTTCTTTTTCAGAAATGGAAGAGCCAACCCTCAAATTCACTTGAAATTGCAAGGAGCCCAGGATATCCAAAGCAATCTCGAAAAAGAAGAAAAAGTTGCAGGACTGAGATTTCCAGATTTCAAAACTTACAAAGAGGTACTGTAATGAAAACAATGTGGTACTAGCACGCAAATAAACATATAGACTGACAGAGTAGAATTGGGAGTCCAGAAATAATCCATAAATATAGCCAGTTGATTGACAAGTGTAGTAAGTCTAACAAAATGGAATGTTCTCTTCAATAAATGTTTTTTGGAAAACTTGGATCTTCATGTACACAAGGATGATGCTGAGACCTTACTAAATACCATAAACAGAACTGAAATAGACATTGATCAACAATCTAAATAAAAGAGTTAAAACCTTAAAACTTGTAGAGAGAAACACAGGGTCAATGTGCATGACCTTGGACTTGTCAATGGACACTTAGATATAATACCAAAATAAATACAAGTACCAAAAAATTAGATATGTTGGATTTTCTCAAAAAAAAATATAATCATTACAGGCCATTGTCAAGAAAGCGAAGAGACAGTCTATATAGAGGGAGAAAAAATCAGTTAGTCATATAGCTGGTAAGGGGCTTAATAACTGAAATATGCAAAGTGCTAAAGAAAACATGAGTGAACAACAAAAGGTCAAACAACCCAATTATAAGAAGGGCAAATGACTTGGATAGACATTTCTCCAAAGAGGATATACAAGAGGCCAATAACCGTTGAAAAGACAATCAACATGATCAGATATTTACAGAAATGTGAATCATCACCACAAAATGAGATACCACTTGACACCAAGTAAGACAGGTAAAATCGATAAAAGGTAAAAGAATGAGTGTTGTTTTATAGGGGAGACTGTGGGAAAACTGGAGCCCCTATCTACTGCTGGTGGGATCGAAAATGGTGTAGACTCTGGAAAACAATGTGGTGGTTCTTCAAATAGCTGACTATGGAATTCTCATGCAACCCACCAATTCCACTTGTAAATGATTCTCTTAACATGAGCACACCATGTTCCTTGCAGTGTTACGATTGTCAATAGAAGGAAAGACTCCATGCCCACAAAAGACCGTGGGTAACCAAATTGTGGAGCACACATACAATGGAGCACAGAGCCATCGAGTGGAATGAAGCTGTCACATGTGCACAAGGAAAAACCCTGGAAGCATTATGATAAGTGAAATAAGTCAGTCACAAAAAATGTATGATTCCATTGACATAAAAATCTAAGAAAGGCAAATTCATAGAAAGAATAGAGTCAAGGTTTATCAGGACTGGAGGAGAGAAGAGCAGCAGCAGCCACTGCTCACTGGTCACAGAGTTCCTCCTTCAGGTTATGAAAGATACTGGAAACAGTCACGACAGTACACAGCCGTGGGGATGTGGTCAATGCCACAGAACTGTACACTTAAAGTGGTTAGAATGGCACGTGTTACGTTAAATATCTTACAACAAATATTTTTAAGTTTAAAAACTAATACAATTTTTTTACCTGTGGCATGATACAATTGCAGATAATATGATCAGAAGGTATGCCGTGTAAAACAAAGGGACCACTGTCCTAGCACTTGCCTCAAATTCCAGTTTCCTAGAAAGTGATGTAAAGTAGACCACCTGTCGTAAAAATACACACAGGTAAATAACTTTTAATTACAATATTTGTGTATGAGTGACAAGATGTATCAAAATATTATAGCTTATTGATTGAAACATGTTACAGTTTGGTAAAAGATTAAAATAGTGTGAATTATGATTTTAGAATAAAGGTAATAAAATTTTTTTCCCACCAATCCATGCTATGCTTTCTAAGATTTCTTTCAAAAATCCAATGTTTGGGCCTCCCTTTGGTGGTGCAACGGTTGAATGGTGGGCTGTGAAGCTGTTGGCAGCCTCTGCAGCTCTGGTTATATCCCAGGCCACCAGTGAGGGTCCCACCTGACGCAACAGACCTCTCATGCCACACCCGCTGCTCCCCTCAGCAGTATATTTTGTCAGTCTGCCTGTTCTGTTCCCTGCTCTGGCTCTGGTCAATTCCCTGACCCTCCCGGCATCTGACTCTGCCCAGTGCTTGTATAAATAAATAAATATATCTTTTTTATTTTTAAAAATAAGCCAATGTTTAACATTCCTGAGTATACAAATTCTCAATTTTCTCTAACACTGTGTAATCATTAATAACTGTCAAAATTTTGGCTATTTGTAAATGACGAGTTGGTTTTTATCTTTTGCTATTTAAGTACAAAGTATAAATTCAGCAAGGCCTGGTATTCAAAGCCTTTTCCCAGCAGGTGTCTCTCACCAGGCCTGGACAAAAGTATTAGCAGTTTTGCTGATCCTCTGAGGTGCCTGGCAGAATGCTAGAAAATACTTGAGAAGTCTGAGCTAGTTGTGTTTATCAAAAACACTAGGGAACATCAGCTTAAAGGTTTGTTTTTTCTTGAAGTGCCACCAAGCAAGTTTTCGGGGGCTCCAGAAACAGCACAGAGGTGAAGTGAGAGCATTCTGACTAGAAAACCAAAAGGAACCCTGAAGATCAATGTCTGCCCTGAACACTCCCACCCCTGGGTGTAGAATGAGTGTATTTCACTAGAATGCGACCCAGTATCTAGGCTGTCGGCTTCCCTTGGTTTCCCTTGAAGAAAGCTGGCTTAAGCATCAAAGAGTGGAGCAGAGCCGGTTTCAAGTCAAGGCCTCCACCAAGTAGCCAGGCGTGGACACATCCCTGGACAGGTCTTATCCCTTCCACCTTCTCCTCCCTCTAATCCCAGCCCCAGGCACCTGGATGTTCTTCAAGGCCAGGCGCTTTCAATGGCATGAATTTGGTCCAGGAACTCGAGCAGCCACTTTTGGCTGTGCTCGCTGTCCTAGGGGGTCCGCGGACTTCAGTTAGTACTGCAGCCACATGGCCTTGGCTTGCAGGAGTATCCGGCTTGTCCCCGAGCCAGGACCTAGGATGGTTCCTCCAAGACGCCGGCCAAGTAGAGGGCCGCAGCAGAGGTGTTGTAAATAGGGAAGGTGATGCTTTTCAGGTCCATGTTGTTATTCTTCTGCCAGATGAAAAGGAGTGGGTTGGAGGGCATGCAGGTGCTCTGGTACCTGGCACACACCTGAGGGTAGAGGGCCTGGATTCCATCTCCCAGGGGCGCGGTCCGCATCTGCACCGCCTTGTCCAGTTGACTAATTTCTTTTTTTTTTTTTAATTTTATTTATTTATTTTATAGAGGCATGTTTTTATTTATTTATTTGATTGTTTGTTTTGTTTACACATGCACTGGGTACAGCCAGAAGCGCAGGAGGGTGAGAGAATTCACCAGAGCCAGAGCGGGGAGCAGAGCAGGCAGAAGGACCGAAGTACACTGCTGAGGGGAGCAGCGGGCGGCAGGAGAGGTCTGCGCGCCATGTGGGACCCTCCCGGTAGCCGGGGAGCAGCCAGAGATCGAAACAGCGCCGCAGAGACTGCGGGCAGCTTCGCAATCCAGCACTCAACCACTGCGCCACCGGGGCGGCCCAGTTGACTAATTTCTGAGAAGATGACTTGATCCAGCAGATTGGTAGTGTTGGAGACCACCAGGATGGAGGCAAAGTTGACCTCCGTGCTGGACCGCAACGGGGAGAAGAGGTGCAACTCGTTGTTGGAGAAATGTGCCTGCACGAAGCGCTGCTCGGCTTTGGCCAGGCTGCCCGAAGGGGTGTCCTGCTCCTCCAGGCTCTCTTCTGTCTCGCTGGGCAGGTTAATACACCCAGTGCCCAGGACAGCCGTCAACGCCAGGGGAGCCTGCAGGAAGAGCCAGGGGTGCGAGCCCACAGCCAGCCCCATCCTCTGGAATCCCCGGGTGAGGGGCTGCTCCAGGCAGTTGATGTGGCAGCTGGGCCTCCCAGGGGGTGGCTGCTGCCCCTGGGCTTCCAGGACTGGTAAATCCCCTCTCTCAGTCGGCTGGCAGGGTGGGTCTGAGGAAGGCCCCGAAGCCCGGCTAATATCAGGCTCCTGTCCCTCACTGGACACCAGGACCTGCTCTGGCTGCCCCGCAGATGCAGGGAGCTGCTGGGGCCCAGACGCCGCCCCAGGATCTGCTCTGCTCTCAGACTCTGACTCCGACCAGTCCTCCTGCTCTGGCCTCTGAGCCCCTGAAGCCTCCCCTTGCTCGAACCCCCTTGGGGTGCAACCTTGGAGGAATGGACACCCATATGCGGATGGACCAACCAGTTGTTCAACAGGAGAATGAGAAAGCAGTAACTGGATATTGTGCCCAGCCCCCCCCCCACAGCGACTTCGGGAGGAATCCACATGGAGGCTGTGCCAAAGTTCACTGCTCCTGTGATCTTTGACCTCGCTGTGCATGCCAGCATGAGGTGGGGGGCGGCGAGGGGGGTAATTTGCTGGAGAGACAGGTTTTCCAGCTGGCCTAGTGGAGGGGAAATGGTTTCCAGGCGGGTCTGTTCTCCTGCCCTTAGGATTCACTGCCTGTCAGGCCTGCATTTGCTACACTGTTATCAGTCGTGGTGTTCCCTCCTGTGTCCTGGCGGGGGTGTTGATATGTCCCCGGAGAGAAGCAGAGGCCGGGACAGAAAGGGAGAAGGAAGTCGAGAAGCCCAGAGTGAAGACCTGCTGGGGGCTTTTCATTGCATTTATTTATTTATTTAGATTTGTTTATTTTTATACAAGAACTGGGGTACAGGCCAGATTGCCAGGCGGGTGAGAGGATTCACCAGAGATAGAGCGGAGAGCGGAACAGGCAGACTGACTGAAATACACTTCTGAGGGGAGCAGTGGGCAAGACAGGAGAGGTCTGCCGCGACATGTGGGAACCTCGCTGGTGGCCTGGGCCATAGACAGCTCCACAGTGCGGCGCTCAACCCTCTGCGCCACTGAGGAGGCCCCACTTTTCATTTTAAAAGTGAAGAGAAGGGCCTCCCCAGTGGCGCAGCCGTTGAGCGCTGGGTTGCGAAGCTGCCCGTGGCCTCCGCGCTGCCGGTTCGATCCCCGCCTGCTCCCCGGCCACCGGAGGAGGGTCCCACATGGCATGCAGACCTCTCCTGCCGCCCGCAGCTCTCCTCAGCAGAGTACTTCGGTCCTTCTGCCTGCTCTGCTCCCCGCTCTGGCTCTGGTAAATTCTCTCACCCTCCCGTGCTGCTGACTATATCCAGTGCTTGTATAAACAGAACAAACAAACACATAAATAAATAAATAAAAATAAAAGTGAAAAGAAATCAAAATACTAATAAAATGCTACTCATGAAAGTTGAAGTAGTTAGATTACAATCAAGAAAAGTGGATATTCAGAAGAATAAAAAATATTGCAGATAAAGAGTGACCAAATAGTGACAAATAGTTTGATTTATGGGGCTATCCTAAAATGTGAGGTGATTGTAGTCTCAAGATACATTTGCAAAATTCCAGAGCAGAAGAAAATAATGAAAAGTACAATGGACATGCATAAATTAGAGACTTGATAAATAGAGAAAATCAGTGCAATCCAAATGACTAAAATCAGAAATGAAAAATTACCATGGATCATTCTGAAATTTAAAACAATTATAAGATTTTACTCTGAAAAACAGCATGCCAACAAATTGTGCACAGTGGATGAAACACACAAAAATCTTGGAATAGCAACGGTACCAAGGCCAAATGGACAGACCTCTCTCTAGTAAGGGAATGACTATGTCAAAGAAAAGCCTCTTTGAGCATGCTTTTAACTGGGCTTTGGAAAGGCGGGTGATGTACAGTTCTTATTATAAGGAAATTTCCCTGAATTTCCCCATGGTTGCAATCACTTTGAATTAATAGTAATTTTTTTTTAATTTAAGTAGAAAAAATTTTCATAAAATCTCCACATTATAAGACTACTCTGTCCAAGAGTTTATGGGAATTTCTTTTACAGTCTCTTAAAGGAGAAATAGATTTTGAATGTTGATTTTCCATAAAGACATTGTTGAAAGGGGGAGGGGGTGCTGGCTTGTTGCCTTCGGGGCCTGTGGACCTTTGGCTTCCCCGGGAGCAAGGCCGCCTCCATGATGGCTGCATTCACTGCATCTAGCCCATGGTCGACGTCAGGGTCATGGGATCGCCTCTGTGTGTGCTCACACGTCTATCTCCTGCCTTCGGTCTCTGCAACCAGCGGGGGCATTGTCTCTGGGCCTTCAGCGCTTTGCTGGAGGCCTTCGGCCCAACCCCAGTGCCTGTGCTGCTGGCCTGTGCCGGGCTCCACCCATTCCCACAGGCCCCGGCCCCTCCTGCCTGGGCCCCTGCCTGCCAGCCCAGCTGACCACCGGGCCCACCTGAGTACACCTGGTCGTTGCGTGGGGCCCCGCCGCTTCCATGACACACGCATACACGCACTTGCCCGCCGGCACACACAAATACTCACACGCACACACAACACAGTCCCGCACGCGCGCACACACACACACACAGGTCCAGCTTGGGGCCGTCGGCCGGCGCATCCCAACACCCTGGGCCTTGGAGCTGGCGGGCAGCTTGGCACCCAACCTGCCTCCACAGGCTGGCATGGCCCGCCTCGCTACTCGGCCTCTGACAGCCCAGGCGCCGGCAGGCCCCGGTCCCCGACCCGGCCAGCGGCTCTGAAGGGCCCAAATGGACGCTGGCCGCCGCAGCTACAAGCGGCCCCCTCCTCGCCGGCCTGGAGTCGCCTGGCCCAGGGCACGGCCTGCCCCCAGCCAGCGGACGCCAGCCCCCATGGCCCTGCTGGGGCCGACCCGGGTACCAGGGACGCCCGTGGGCACTGTGGGCGGGCGCCCAAACACTGGCGGGCTGGCGGTGCCGGTCAGGCTACAGGA